CATCTCAGACCCTAGTATAAGCTATTCGCGTTGAATTGCACGGTATAGCTATCCTGCGCCGTACACCGTTACTTATGCTATACGCCGGTATTGTAAGACGTTTATTCTAGTGTTTATACCAACATTTAGTTATTCTTGGTATACGGAGCGGTATAAACTGTTTTGTAAGATCGGCCCTAAGTCATCTACATAGTAGGTTTTGTTCATAGTTAGGGTTGGGTTGGGCTTTTTTCTCTGGATCAATATAACACATATTGGAGACGACTTATTATTCAAAATGTTTTCATTTCCAAAAAGTGCTATCTAGGCCGCGAAAGTGCTGTTTCAAGGTAATTAAATTATCAAAGAAGAAGAATTTCTTCAAAGAAGAATTAGAAGAAATTGCAAAATATTCTGCAAGTGCAAAAAACTATTCACAGCAAACAGTATTTAAATGTATTCCCAAGTAATTTTAATTACTGAAACGAATTTTAAACTGTCGAAAGCGAAGCAACTTGTGTCGTAACCATCCCTAAGACGATTGCTATTTGCCACTCATTTTGAAGAGTTTTGGAAATTTTGTTGTTTTTATAGTATAAAGCACGAGTAAAGCAGTGAAGTGAACGAAATGTTTGAAATTAATTGCACCTAATGAAAAAAAATCTTGAGTGTATAGCGTGCTTCAGATCATTATCCTTTTAAAAGATGAAGCCTCGCAAACGTCCCAATTTTTCTGCACTGTGTTTCAAATATTCCATCTATGAACCCCCATACCATCCCTAAGCCTCCACCATATTTGAACGTAGGTACCAGATTTGTGTCGATATAGGCTCGTGGTTTTCTTTTCCCAAATTCCTATTCGTTCATCTGATATTTTTATATTGAATTTAAAGTTATCTGTGAAAATGGCCACTTTCCAGAAGTTAAAATCCTTATTTTGTCATTTTTTTGCAAATACAATCCGTTTTTATTTATTAATGTTACTTCGCACCACCTATAATAGAGACTCTACACGTTCGACTTTCTTCAGATACCAGAAACTTTAACTTTAATTTTCTAATTTTTCTGTGGGTGTACGCACTTTGTTAATTTTAACATTACACTGCTTAATACAAACATTCAAGAGAGATCGATAATTTTAAATTACTCTTTAATATTCTAAAATGCATTCTATAAAAGAGACTGTTTAAAAATACTTAAAATGTTTAAGGTTATTATATTGAAAATCAAAATATACAAGAACAATTCGAATTTTCTAGAAAAGTTTGGAAGCCATTTCTAGAAAAGTTTGTAAGAAAATTCTAGAACGTTCGAGAATAATCGGGAATGTTCGGGTCGTCCGACTCGGGACTATAAAAGCCGCTCGGCTCGGCGGCAACTCAATTCAATTCAATCTGTGGCAACGACAACATCGTTGAACTAAACGAACAATAATCAAATTAAAACCAGGATTTTACGAATTCATCTTATTGTTAGAAGAATCTACGAATACACAAGATAAAAATGGTTAAATCACCAGCAATTGGTATTGACTTGGGTACCACTTATTCCTGTGTTGGAGTTTGGCAACAAGGAAAAGTGGAAATCATCGCCAACGATCAAGGTAATCGAACAACACCGAGTTATGTGGCATTCACGGATACGGAACGTCTTATTGGAGATGCAGCGAAAAACCAGGTTGCAATGAATCCTAGTAACACGGTATTCGACGCTAAGAGATTAATTGGGAGGAAATACGATGATCCAAAGATACAAGATGATTTGAAACATTGGCCGTTCAAGGTTGTTAGTGATGGAGGTAAACCGAAAATTCAAGTTGATTTTAAAGGTGAACTGAAAAAGTTTGCTCCTGAAGAAATCAGTTCGATGATATTGATTAAAATGAAAGAAACGGCTGAGGCGTTTTTGGGATGTCCGATTAAAGATGCTGTTATCACCGTCCCAGCTTATTTTAATGATTCTCAACGGCAAGCTACGAAAGATGCTGGAGCAATAGCTGGATTAAACGTATTAAGAATTATAAATGAGCCAACAGCTGCTGCTTTGGCTTACGGCTTGGATAAGAATCTTAAAGGTGAAAGAAACGTTTTAATTTTTGATCTTGGTGGAGGAACCTTTGATGTTTCGATTTTGACTATTGATGAAGGATCTTTGTTTGAAGTAAGAGCAACAGCTGGCGATACTCATCTTGGTGGAGAAGATTTCGATAATAGATTGGTTACCCATTTAGCGGAAGAATTTAAGCGAAAATACAAAAAAGATCTTAGAAGTAATCCCCGAGCGCTTCGTCGATTAAGAACTGCAGCTGAAAGAGCGAAACGAACTTTATCTTCAAGCACGGAAGCTTCAATTGAGATTGATGCTCTTTATGAAGGTGTCGATTTTTATACTAAAGTATCTAGAGCTAGATTTGAAGAATTATGTTCTGATTTGTTCAGAGGGACTTTAGAACCAGTTGAAAAAGCTTTACAAGATGCGAAAATGGATAAAGGAGCTATTCATGATATTGTCTTGGTGGGTGGATCAACGCGTATTCCAAAAATTCAATCTTTATTACAAAATTATTTTTGTGGAAAAGCGTTAAATCTCTCAATAAATCCAGATGAAGCAGTTGCTTATGGTGCTGCAGTACAAGCTGCCGTTCTCAGTGGTGAAACGGATAGTAAAATTCAAGATGTTCTTCTCGTTGACGTCGCCCCGTTGTCTTTGGGTATTGAAACCGCAGGTGGAGTGATGACCAAAATTATCGAACGCAACAGCAGAATTCCTTGTAAACAAACCCAATCGTTTACAACATACGTCGATAATCAACCAGCTGTTACTATTCAAGTATACGAAGGAGAACGCGCTTTGACTAAAGACAACAATACTTTAGGCACATTTGACTTAACAGGAATTCGATTAGCGCCAAGAGGCGTTCCAAAAATCGAAGTCACTTTCGACTTGGACGCCAACGGAATACTTAACGTTTCCGCAAAAGATACAAGTTCTGGAAACACCAAAAACATCACAATTAAAAACGATAAAGGTAGACTTTCCCAACAAGACATCGACCGAATGTTGGCTGATGCTGAGAAGTATAAAGAAGAAGATGAGAAACAGAAACTAAGAATTTCTGCGCGTAATCAACTTGAAGGATATATCTTTAGTTTAAAACAAGCGGTGAATGAAGCTGGTGATAAACTTGATGAGAATGACAAAAGTACTGTTAGAAGGGAATGTGATGATAGTTTGAAATGGTTGGAAGGAAATATGTTGGCAGAAAAAGAGGAGTATGAAGATAAACAGAAGCAATTGGCGGGTATTTGTAGTCCCATTATGATGAAGTTACATGGTGGGAATCAAAATGCAGGAGGATTTGGACAGTCTGGTTATGAACGACAACAAAGTGCTGGGCCAACAATTGAAGAAGTTGATTAGATTAGATGTTTTTAAATTCATCTTTACCAAAGTAAATTAATAGATATTGCACTTATTAGACAGTATTATTACTAATGTAGTTAAAATATTGTAGCGAATAGTATTCAGCACCAAATATATTACATTTAAGTTTTACATTGTTAAATAACTATTATACATTCCAAATAAACTACTTTAAACATTATTATTTTGTTTTTGTTTAGTGTTTTCTATTAAATTATGGTGTAAAGTTGGTGAAATTTTTTAATTAGTGAATTGGTGTGGTGGTTTATCATGATCTGCTTTTCCCAACGAATCCCATAAAGCTTGAGTTGTCGTCGGTGATAAACGATTAATGTTTGGTTTTCGTTGTTTAAAAGAACTTCCAAAAGTGATCACATTTGGTTTTGGATTTACCGAAATTGTTTTAATTCCTTTTTTCTTACTGATATCGGTAACCTTCCTATTCTTCCTTTTTCGCCGGTAATAAATTACTTCACCAATTAATGTTAACATTGCCAAAGCTAATCCAAAAAGTGTCGCAATAAAAACACCACCTACAAAACAACATATTTCATTTAAATCCAGTGAAAGTATATAGTATTCTAATTCTAGCATGAAACAGAATTAGTTTTTGAATTGATCCATAAAATAAATTCTGCACTGAATTGTATTGATAGACTTATATACCTAAACTTTCTAGTGTAATCCCTTCATTATCTTCATTATCCTCACATTCAGTTCTTAAAGAATTATTCCAATATTTTGATTGAAGATAATCAAAAAATCTATCCTTTTGCAATGTTAGAATTTGTCTGCTTAGTTCATCGGTTATGTAGCTTCCTTGTTGAACGGCAATTGCATATGGTTTTTCAGCGAATACTTCACCGATTTCAGTAAAATTACAATTTTTGCTGATTTCATATTTTATTTCAGCCGAATCGTGAATAAAAGCGAAATCAGCATCGGTACGTTCGTTTACTTTTTTAAAACCTTCCGCAGCGGTTTTAACGGGAATCGAATCGTTTATTGCTAAGAGAATATGACCGTATTGTTCTCTAACTGGATAATCCCATACTCTATATTGAGTTCCGTCAGTTGAAGCATTTAATGTTAATTCTTTCCATAATCTACAAAAATATATAATAATTAAATTGATAAATTTTATGTTAAACACAACCTGATAAATTAAACGTCAAAAACAAATTAAAAATTTATTTTGTTTTTAGTTTAGGAAACATTGAATTAGTTTAATTATTACCTGTATAAAGTGTCTTCAGCATTTTTCATATTGATGAAATATTCATGAGTATCAGAACTTTCTACAACGGTGTAGTTTATTCTGGATTGTTTTGCTAATTGATCCAAAGATTGAACTGGAGTCTATTAAAAATAAAAAAATATCTTGTATTGATTTTTGCCTCAAATAGAGTCAAATGAATTTATGATATATTTATTATGAGTCAGAAAAAGGCTACCTTTCAAAATAATTATTGCAATATTTTTATATTAGTGATAAGCAGGCAGCGCTTTTCTGTGTCTCGATATTTCTTGCGATTCCTATATGTATCATATTTTTTATGATATTGAGATCTACTAGTAATAATATAACTGAGCAATCACTCAGAGACATATAATCCCAATGGGTAAGGAAAATAAGTTATTGCCTAATATACTTTAGTATTTAAAGACGAAACTAACCAAATGTGGTCTAGGGCTAATTTTAGTGACAACAAATGAATAGATAGGTATGTTGGTAAGTTTTCGTGTGTAACTAGACATGTTTAACTGTACGGGGAATCGATTCGGTTGGCCAGCATGCTGGGTGGTGCGTATGATAGGATACAGAAGTAAGAATGGATAAGTAGTTGAAAAGTCGAAGATAAGATTTCACGTATGAGCGTGACATTTTTGATTCCGTTAATACGAAAAAGACGCAGTGAGCAAAAAGGGATGAAAAGGAGAAGAGTGCTGAATGATGGTGTTTGGGGGAAGTTAGTTGAAAAGCAGGACATTGGCATTGTTGAGAGATAGCTGGAGGGGCTTGGAGAGGTTATCACAGACAATGTTGGAATTACCCACAAGAGAACGTATGAGATTAAAAGAGTAAAAAATGCATATGATATGAGAAGGCTAAAATCAACTTTGTGGAGAAGGAGACAGAGGTCTTGGGCCGAACATTGCCGAAGGGAGGGGCAAGGAGAAAGGAAGTGGGGAAAGAAGAGAAATGGGAAGATAGGTACTAATTATGAGGGGATAAGCTACAAGGAAGAAGTAAAGAATTATGGTATTATTGACGGACGAGGAAATGATAAAAAAAAACTAAAAGGCAGATAAAGGTTGTTGTAGGTGAAAACCACCATAAGTACAGGAAGTAGTAGACGAAGGAGAGTCGCTAAGAGATGTAAACATAATTAGAGGCAATGTTTGGAAAAAGGGGATTAATCGTAAAAAATCCAAAATTGGTTAAACTGAAAGTAGACTGAGAAATCCAAAATCAACTAAAAAAAGTTCCCAAAAAGACCGTCATACAATTTAAGACTGAAATCTAAGATATTCGGTAAATATTTTAAAATTATAATGAAAAGTTTAAAGTGATCATAAAACGAGAAGTACAGAATGACCAATATTTGAAAAGGACTTGGAGAAATTGGAAAAATGCCTAATATGAATATGAAGCAGCTGGGACGGACAAAGAAGTATAGAAATCTCTTGATAATTACTATAGATTTAGGACAAAGGAGGAACAGCACTGAAGATAAGGAAAACAGTTAAAAGACCCATGGACACAAGATTTGACGTCCTTAGTTGTCTCAGATATAGATCGATAAGAAGGTTTGGGGAAAAATTAAGAGCATAATGCCAGAAGGGCACGGATCATCAATTTGTCGTGAGTCTGGGTACAAGGAAAAGAGCAAATAAAGGATTATTACTGAAACTATGAAGGTCAAACGGGTACTACAAATATCTGAATGGATGGCTAGGGAGGTAGTGGGAGGAAAGATGAGAGTCGATAGACAAAAAATAAAATATAGAATAAAGGTATCGACAGATATTAAATGAAAATAAGAAGGACAAGCGATTCGTCGTTTTTAGATAATGCAGTTGTTAGCCAGAATAGTTGGATGGTAATTTAATTTAAAATTGTATTTATGAAATGTTCAGAAATCAGATGCATGGTAACCAAATTCAGCAGATTCCTATCATCAACTTTAAAAAGTAGAGCGAGGGATTGTGGGAGAAAGAGAATGGAAATGGTGATAATTCAATGCTCAGTCGTGCATAAGGAAATAGAAGATGCAGAGGAAAATTACCAGGGGAGAGTAGATCGACTGGTGGGCATGAAAATGTTAACTGAAGAGATGAAGAAAACAAAAGCTGAGGGGAACCGAGTGGTGTGATAATGAATGCTATGAAACGAAAAGGAAGACATGAAGACAGATGAAAGAAAAAGGAAAGGGAAGTCAGGAGAAGATATAACGACATATGTAGAGTAAAAAGAAATTGAAGAAAGCGGAAAGCTGTGAAAGAAACGGAAGTAGTTAAATTGTAAGATATCTTAAGAGAAGTTGGGAAGAATACTTAATGGAATTGATGAAAGGATACAAGAAAATAATAACTTTATTAAAGATGGGACAATCGACAGGAATTCCTCCGTTATTTCCAACTAGATCTCATTTGATTAGTTAGAAATAAATTTTGAAGGGTTTTGAACAGAATTTAGAAGAGAGAGGGGCTTCCTTGACAGTGCCGGGATTTATAATGTATGGCATAATGTTTAGAATTATAAATCTACTAAAAACAATATGTAAAATATATGCATACAAGAATTGTGGAAGAAAGGTTGGAAAAGAAAAAGTTTTAGAGGAGGACGAGGGACAATAACAATATATCGTCGGGATACTATCACCTCCTTCCCCTTTGTTGTTGAAAGCCTCTACTGTTGCTTTACAAACACTTAGAAAGAATGATTTACAAACCCTGACTTTGGTTTCAGTTTCAGTCCCAAGAAAGTAAGTTTTAGAATCAGATCTGGATTTCTTTTTGTTATTAAGCATGTGACAACGTCTTGCAAGAAGGAGATAAGTACAAAAACTTTCCATTTTTTTGTAATTTATAAATTTTAACTATAAGTTTGAAATCTTACTTGCATTCTTTCGACTGTTAAAAATGCAGCTAAATTTGCAGTAAATGTAGCTAACATTAATACCACAAATAACCAATAAGCTGCAACTAAAGCTCTTCCAGAGAGTGATTTTGGAGCTTCACCACCTCCTTGAGGTGTAAAGGATGTTAATGCGAACCAAAAGCTTTCCTTAAGAGTAAATTCCCTAAAATTAAAAAAAAAAACAAACTTTTTTAAAAATTTGAATTGATGATTTATTTTAAACCTGCATGGATACGGATATTTTTCTTTATTATTTTGACCACTATAAGGTGAGTATTTATCCAAGAACCAAATTAAAAAACCGGTAACTGTTAAAGCTGCTACAATACTTAACCATACTTCTAGTTTTAAAACGGTCATAAATTTAAATAATGATGTTTTAACTATTGGTTTTCTCATGACTAAAACAAAATTTAGATTTCACTTGTTATTTAATTAATTATTTCTTGGTTCTACCGATAGATATTCCTGATTGATCGAAATAAGGAGGAACAAAATCGACAACTTCTTCCCTATCAGCTGTCATAACAATTGCTGCGATGGCTAAATCAGTTTCGCCAGTTTGTAAATCACCCACTAAACCATCCCAAACACCATTTTTATTCTTAACACCAAAACTACCTTGTTTAGGTTCTACCAAATCGTACTTAAAATCCATTAATTGAGAAAGTTTTTCAGCAAAATCAACACAATATCCTTCCCAAACGAATTCGCCGTTTTTAGTAAATTTTTTATAAGCCCAAGGAATTGCCTACAAAACTTATAAAAATTAACGGTTTGTAAAAGAAAATATTAAAAAAGTTTTACGTGAGTTATTCCAATTCGAAAATAACGTTTAATTTTTAAAGGCCCTTCTGAATGTTCCCAAGAAACTCCAGAAACCTCATCATAACTGCCCAATTTTTCAACACTTTCATCACGAACTGAATAGAATTCACCTTTAAGTATTAAACGAAGAGTATCGTTTGTTTTGGTAATAAAATTTTTTTGTTGTAGTTCTGAAGAAAGATGATCATTAAATTCTTCTAAAACATTTGTATCAAGTGTTGAATTACATTCTGGTTTTATAGGGTAAACATTTCTTTTGTATAAATTTTCAATAACATTAGTTAATACTTTTAATGAATTCCCTAAAAATTCCTTTTGTATTATAAAATCAGAAGGACATTGACAATTGGGTGTGTTTAATAAAGAACAACATAAACTTTTATCTAAACTTAAAATTGTTAAAGATTCGTGGGAAGAAAGGTCATCTAAATTTGCATTGGAAAAATCTAATAGTACTATGTTCCATCTTTCGATTAATGAAGCCAAACCAGATTCAACAGCCTAAAATTAAATATTTGTACCAAATCATACTTTGTTGATAATATTTTTCAATTCCTACAAGATTAAGAAGTGGTGGTAAAGCAGCTGAAGTAGTAAGAATCGCATAAAAGCTCGGCATTGGTCTTATACTTTTCAAATGTTCAATTGTAGTTTTATTTAAGACATCCATAAGAATTAATCTTGGTTTATCAGAAAGCACCCAATAATAAAGTGCTTCATCAAGGCCTAAAAATTACTTTCAAATAAATAATATATGAAAAAATTAATACTTACGATTGGAATCTTGAAATAACATAGCTACATCGGTGGCATTCCTTTGATCTAAATACTTGTCAAGAAGTTCTATGAAAAGTCCTATACTAATATCTATTTTTATGTATGGAATTCCAACAATATTCGTTATTGTTTTGATATCTTCACCACCTGCCCAAGTTATATCAATTGCTAAATTACCACCTTGGTAGATTCCTTGACAAACTGTAATAAAAGGATATTTTAAATTAATTGCCATCTTTTTCTTGCGCAAACATGCATTACTTCAGTATCGTCGCTAGCAGTATCGCTCGCGGGATCGGAACTTATGTGTTTTTATACCGAACATGGAAAGTGATCGAGATTAGCTATTTTTCAGAAGATGAAGCTTTAGAATACAGTAGCAGTAATTAAAAGAATGACGTTGAGGAATGACTCTCTTGGTTTAGCTTAGCAATGGGTATCGAGTACAACAAGATGAGACAGATATCTAAAAAGTCATGATCAAAGCAGAGAAAAGTCTTTGCTTTTTAGAGAGGCAAAGTGTGTGTAATGAAATGGAAAGATCAAGAAATATCTCTTTTGTCTCTACTATTGCAACGGATTTTAAGTTTAATGTAAATGCGTTTTTTGAAAATATCGAAATAAAGGGTATCGAGACAACCTTCAAAACTTTAAAACTTCTGAGATGGATGGAATTCGTATCACCAAAATTAAAACACAGATCTCATCTAATTGAATTGAAGGAAGAAGGACATTGAACTATGCAGTTTTGGGACGATTTAGACGATTATTTATTTCAAGTTTGCAAACAGCAAATAATAAAATAATTTGCAAGTTTGCTGTACAGAAAGTTTAGTATTCATTAATGCATCCGTCATCCCTTCGTTAGTTACTACTATGATTGAAGGAGTTTCAAAAAGATTAAGCATTATTTACAGCAACGGTATTTCGAGATTATGAAAAATTAATGTGACCCTTTTAATTGCTGCATTGAATGATTTAGAAACAAGAAAATGTAGGCTTGCATAGTTTTAGTGTTACAGGAACTTTACGTTTCAGTTGTTGTAAAACAAATCCTAATATTTATGCAAGCGAAGATTGTGATGGATAAATTACACAACTTAAAATTATTTGTGTCGAACATAATAGAGGAAAAACAAGGCATTTCTACTCGAATAATTGCAAATACGTTGATAGTAAGTAATGGGACTGTTTGGAAAATTCTTAAACATTATTTGCTGAACCTATACCATTTACAACGCGTTCAAGCACTTCTACCTGCTGATTTTCTTCCACGTTTAATACAATACAATATAATAGTTATTTATGTTTATTAAAAGTGGACTAGAAACTTAATTACTGTACGAGTGTGGAGAACACAACGAGGTCGTAGACCAAGTCGTGTAATCACACGAGTACTGTAATTATGCTCTAGCCCACGTGTGATATACAACATTTTATCTACGACTGCTAAAAATTACATAAAAATCTATTTCTTTAAAAAGGTCTATTTTGACATTTATAAAAATATTTTGAAATTATTGTTGACAATTTTGAATTAATGTCAGTTTCAATAACATGTTTACTCATCTGCAATAAGTGTTTCGAATTGTAAAAACATAACAATTAATGTTTATAATAAATGGTATTGTTTCTCTTTAAATAGGTAGCACATTTTCTTTTGTATTGTTGCTCGTTTCAATAAATTAAGTCTGTTCTGATTGGGTTAAAATGCGTTACGTAATAAAACCAGTGTAGTAATGAACTTCATTACGTAACTCAAATCACGTTAAATGAGTGGTAATGATGACTTCCAAGCCGTCGTAGATAAATTTATTTATGTAATAAAAAACATTACAAAAAAAAAACGTCAAAAACAAATAACTGATAAAATACGTCCAAAACAAAGAACTGTATAAGACACCGCAAAACAAATAATTGTATAAAATAACGAATAATTGTATAAAGTGTCACATGTCAGTGAATACAGTGTGGGACAAAAACTCTTCGTAGGAGTAAAACGCACGTTTAATTAAAAATTCCTTGATTCTGCTCCGAAACGATTGCCTTCTTAATTTTTCCATGTCTGACGGTAACTTGTTGAAAAACTTGGGGCCCCAGTGGTCGACAAATTTTTGTGTGTAGGTAACACGATGATATGGTGTTTGAAGCTGCCGGTAGTTTGGTGTTGTACGAGTGCTCACAGCCATTTATTTCATATTTGGTCTCATTATCGTATTCGTGCATCAAGACCGTAAAGATGTAAATACACGGTACCGTAAGTATGCGTTCTAAATAAAAGTGTTCTCTACAGCTCTCCCTCAATTCCAGATTACACAAAATACGGAGAGCTTTCTTCTGTAGTTGGAATATTTGCAGTGTTCCCGATGACTGCTCCCAAAACATGATGTCATATGATGCCACATGAGTGGAAAACAGAAAAATAAGCCAATCTGGCAGCATGGTGAGTTGAAATTTGTTTCAGCCGTCGTACCGTATAAATGCTGCCAGATAGTCTGTTATCTACAATGTGACCCATTTGAAAGCGGAGCGCCCTCGTAAAATCTGTATTTATTACCCGATTTCTACAAATTTTTTTTTTGAATTGTAGAGCGTAAGAAACTGTACCTTAGGTCAAAGAGTCATATTTTTTTTGAAAAAACCAAGGCCTACTATTTCACTTTTTAGGTGCAAAAAATGAAGAAACCATATTAGGAAATTTTTTACAAAAAAACCGAAGAAAACAACGCAATAAACCCCCATTGAAAAGGGCAAAAAACAAAATTCAACAAAAATGGTTACAAATTAACACCGTTCAGATAATTGAAAAATATAAGCTTTTATCAATTAATTTCATCTGTAACAAATGTAAATAGTTTTTGTGTTATTGTCTGTGTTTTATTAACTTTTTTGTCATGGTTTACTAGATCAAATCAAATAAATTCATAAAAAATGATATATCTGCCAATTCGATATCTCTGTCGATAGAGAAACTAACTACATCTCTCCTTTCTTTTACTTTTAAGTCAAGATGCGTCATAATCATGATTCCTCCATGCTGGTAGTTCGTACGACAAAACGTTGATGGCGTCTTATATCCTTCGATCTGAAATGAATTGTTCACTGTGGATTTCATTCAGGGCTCAGTAATGCCAAAGTCAATGTTATTTTCTTTCAAAATTCTCTCTAGGACATCCACCTTGGAGATACTTTGGACATTTATATTTAGCATTCTGTCATTGGCTCTTAATTACTCGACTATTGACTTTGATTTTTTTTTACTTACTACGTTTGGTAATAAGAAATTCAATGTAGTTAATCCACGATGGTACACCTGTGCAGTTTAGTAGGGTTGCTCATGAGTTTTTGACAGTAACACACAGAGATCTCTGGATTGGTCGAGGGCGACCTCACTTGTAGCCTGCTCGATCCCCGGACTTAAACGGCCTGGATTTTTTTCTATGGGGCCATCTTAAATCTTCAGCTTACACTACTCCAGTGGAAAATATGGAAGACTCTGCGAAATCGTATAACTAATGGTTGTAATTCAATAAGAAACGATCCTGGTGTTTTTGAAAGGGTTTGGCAGTCAATGAGGAGAAAGAAGATTGGATTTTTACATCTTAGCTGGAGGTGGTCATTTTCAATAGGTATTGTAGATTAGGAAGCTTATATTTGTAATTTTTTGTAATAAAATGTTGTTATTGTTGAAATCTTTGTTCATGCTGTATCTTAGAAGTAAACCGGTTTTTAAAAAATTATTAAAGGGTAAAATATTCTTAGAACAGTCCAATGAATAACCACATGAATTCTATCATGACTCAGTAAGAAAGAAATGACCATAAGATTTCAAGGGTAAATATATACAGTGCGCAGCAAAACGCACCATACATTCGTTTGCAAAAATGGCAGAAGTCAATTTTATTTTATCACAAATTATTGGTATTTTAGGCACACTTAAAAATGACATTTCTCTACGTTAACGAAGTAAATATTAATATGGATTACATAAAGGTAATTTTGAGAAAAATAATTAAATGTCATTGGTAATAATACATCTCATTTTTTAATTTAATAATCTCTGTCCCAAACCGTTAAAATTAATGTTGAAAGATTATTTATTGTAACGTCTATTTTCTGTATTTTTTTTATTATTTGTTGGTGTTTTTGCTTTGCTCTGTGTTATTTGATGCTGTACATTCAGTATTTATTTATTTTTGTAATGAAAATAAATAAATACTGAATAAATAAAAAACTAATGAAAAACGCATTTCAATTTTCATTTTTATTAGATGTGAAGATAAAATCTGAACACAACACGTACTCAGTTTGTTTAATGCAAAATACCAAAATAATTTAAAGCCTTCGATAAGTCGATATAGTTACTTGTAAAATATGCGAGTTCGAATTCTGCAAGAAAATGCATGTGGTGCAATTCAAAAAAATTTTTATTACGTCATATGAGTTACAGGAAGTGAATTTTATCAATAAATCGAATATTACCATAATAATATAATATTACATAACAATAACATGTAATATTACAATTCATTCTTTAATTAATTCTGTTTGTTGTTCATTTCTAACCCCGTACTTACTCAATTCATTATGATTTACTTACTTGTATATGTCAAAAGAATATTTAATCACAATAATTTAAGGATACGATGATTAATTTTATCTGCAGAATTAGATAAGTTATCGTCTCTTTGTGTTTATTATTTATTATGTATCTAAATAAAATACGCGATACAAATCATAATATTGTAATAACTTTTCTTAACTCTAAATTACCATTTTCATAAATCCGATTTTCTTCATACTCCACTTCAACCGGATACATATTCAAGTTAATCGGTGTTTCAACATCCTTAAGACCTTTTTCGAACCACAAGACGGCATGTCTTTGTTCTTTATCGTGGAACAGAACTGAAAAAGAGATCTAATTAATTTTTTATTCAAGATTTTAATATAGTTTAAATTAACATTTAAATTATGTGATTGTAAGAGAAAATAATGTAAAAAAGGAGTTAGGAATCGATTCCTTTTAAATAGCTTGCTGTTGACTGTATACGTTCGATTATCTATCGTTTTCTCATTCCGAACCGGTCCGAATAAAACGGCGTATGAAAGCGCAAGTTGCGTTTTGAAGTCGAGTAGTTGAAGCTGTGATCGTGTTGAGTTCGCACACAGGTTGATTTTAAGATAATAATTATTTGTGGTAATTGGTTGGATTTTAATTGGGTTGTTTTCGAGAGGTGGTTTTAAATAGTTTTATAAAGGTAATCTTAAAAAATTTATTAATAAAATACTACCGGATATACATTTTTAATTATGATTTATTTAATTTTTCAAAACGAGTAATTATTTAATGTATTAATTAGTACATGTTTGTTAACAATCTTATTAAAAAATTAACTCTGCATAATTTTTTGCTTAGTTTATGGAAACTTTTGTTATAAAATAGCTTGTTAATAAATTATAATTTTTGTCACCTTCAGAAAGAACATTTCCAGAAAATGTAACGCAATAGATCTTTGGTATTTTTATGGTACTTTATAGCACTACAAGTTTAAGTAAAAAAAAGTAAATTCTTTATTCCAAAAGTAATCAATTTTAACTCTAATAAACAAGTAATTTCTAATAGAATTTTAATCTGTGCAATCAGTGTAATTGATTAAAAGCTAGCAAGTTTATTCTAAAACTATCTTCTAAAAGTCATTTAAAATCTTTATTCATTTATTGTAAAAATAGATCAACTTGTGGTTTAAAAACTAAAATATTTTGCTGCCAATTTTGCATAAACACATTCAACTGGAATAACGAAATTTCACAAGTGCATTCTTTGTGTGTAACTGAGCCAATTTTTTAAAGCATATCAATGTTTAACTGTTTAAAAAAAGTAAGCAACGTTTGTAGTATTTCAAATATTACTTGTCTTAGTTGCATCCTGAAATCGTTTAAATATATCGATCCTGCGATTGTTGGATTGGTATCGATTTTTAATTATAATTACAAGAATTGAACCCAACCGCAAAATTAAATTATTAAATTAACCATATAATTTCATATTTGTTTCTCAATGCATTTCTTTTTAAAAATAAAAAATGGTTTCCCTTTCTATGTTGAACCTAAAACTGTTTGTCACACAAGGTGGGAAAAACTATTTCATATAAATAAAAATTAACTTTATTCCTGGCGCTCATAAAAGATGTAACTAAACTATTTAAAAAAAAACAAAGATAAATCTTAAGTATAAGCGCCTTAATTAAAATATCTAGAATAAAACCTGAAAACATCTTTATGGGACTATTAAGATTTACAGTTCTTTTTTATTTGTTTTTGAATTCACCTTTATCAATGGAAAAACTTTTGTAAACGGACGAAATTTCAACGTCTGTTATCAGTTTAGTACGTTCTTTTGGTTCATTGGAATTCTCTATGCAACAACAAATTGTTATTTTTGATACAAGCTAGCGAAATGACATTTTTGAGAATGAAAGTTTGAAAAAAATCGTTCAAGAATGCAAAAGAAGTTCGGTATCGTGTATCAAATCAACATATTTTCGAAAACTGTGTTTTCTAAAGTTTATAAATTAATAAAACGAATAATGACATTTAGAATTCGGTTAATGTTATGTTAATCAACTATTTGTTTTTGATCGTCACACTTTTAACAAATATTAAAAGATCTGCATTTAATGCATACATGCAATGAAATGATAATTTGTTCATAACAATAAATTAACAATGAATAGTATCAAATTCTTTGATGAGCAACCGTCAAAACAGATTTTTCTGTAAACAGAACGTAAAAGTGTGTTGTTTATTTTGTCTGAGTTTACAATACTTTATCATTACATCACGTCAGGTTTCATTTAGCTATTTATTTACTCTAAAAAATACACTTAATTTGTTGTCAGAAAATAATATTTTTCTCCTCTCATTATCTTTTTGAACCCACCATCAAAAGTCTGCATGCTACGTGTCCATCTGCCTTGATATACTTATCACTTAAGAGAGCATGTTTTCCGACTTAAAATGGGAGTGTAGAAAATTGATTTTCAAGGACATATTGTATTGTGTTCATGAAAATCTGGAGATTTGTGGTTGTTAAGGAGATTTTTTGTGACATCGACAAAAGCTAACCATGCTTATGTTTCTATGGAAGTAAGATATTTTTATGAAACCTTGAATTTTTCACAAAATTCTTGACAAAATCAAGTTTGATACGCAATCTTTGATATTTTTCTCACCCACATCGTACTCAAATTTCAAAAGCTCGTTTTGTTTAACATAATGTTCTGAACTCGCTTTGCTATCTCATTCACAGAGCAAGCAACAATACTTCGTATACTTATGTTACTGTCTGTAATAATAAGACTGTAAGTTTCTCTTTAAGTAACGATGGAAATAAAATTGCCTTTAGACATAGTTTTGATACATCATTTATTGATTAGATACTTATTTGTCTCCATTCTTCTGGTGAATGATGATGATCTACTGTCGATATTATCGATCTTCTTAAATTTTTGTTTGATCAAATATAAATCTCTAACAATATCGTTTAGCTGTGATTGATTAAATGTATTTCTGCAACAATCGGGCCCGCTATCTTCTTCAGTAGACCTCAATCTATACCGAATATCTGTACCGAAATTTCAGAGGAATGAAGTATCAATACAACACTGATGGAATATAATTTACTGAACATTTCGTTAAAAAAAACCTTCACGTTTATAAAACAGAAGTAAAAGTTGTCTGTATGGGTCTTGTGTTCACCTCACTGCATTGGTAATAAAAAGTATTTCTTCTATAATACCATTGTACCAACCCGTCAAATATTTATAACATATCAAACAACACGTTCTAGGCACCCATGTTTTTATCTTAACTTTAGTATTATAATAAGCTTTATAACACTTTTCAAGCAATGGGAAAATTGAATTTTTTTCATTGTTACAATCAAATTTATTACAAACACATCAAAACAGGTATGGAGTATTCATACATTTTGTATATTCAACTCTAATGATAAATGAACATAACAATATCAAAATTAAGTGCTTTAAAAATCTTAAACATTGAGTTAATTCCCAAGTAACTTTTTTTTCTCAGTGTACGCCATAATTTAATATTTTTATTGTTACTATGTTGTCATCTAAAATTTTATTTTCAAGTTCGTTCAGAAAAATATCTGAGAGGAGGCCGTTCAAGGGACAACCAGCGAATCTTCTATAAATACAACATCAATGTATCTTTCAAAAATAACAAAACTATTTTTAAAAAACTCTTTAATTTAAAGATAAAGTCAATATTCTTGATGATAATGTGCATACAAGCTAGAGTGTGGAACCTGTGGTGCTACATACATGTAAATCAATTAAAACACATATTAGAGAACATCAATTAAACAATAATTTCATGATAAAAAGATTATTGTAAAATTCATTATTTGTTCATTATAGGCGAAACTAATGAGACTTAAAAATTTTTTCGATAATCAAACCAGTTAAAGTACTACAAAGTCGTTTATTTGAACTTAAAAAGCTATTTATTAGACATCAATTTAAAACACAGTTTCAAACTAGGTTCTGGATAATTTTTATTAAGTGTATCTCCCCTGATATCCATAATGGTTTGTTCCAGAAGATACATACGGTTTCTATAATGTTCAATTGATGATTCCAGTATCTAGCACATAATTTCGATATCCAGTTGTTTCGTTCAATATTTGTTATAAGTTGTTCCAGTATTAAAACTAGAATCTATACTACTCTGGTTCAAATCACGATGGGTACTACATCCAACAATGAAACACTGGAATCTGCGAAATCCTGCTATATTTAGGTATGGAGTGAGCCAAAATAGGTGTAGCTGATGAACCCACAAGACGATTAAAATTAAATTATGTACTGTTGTGTATAAACCATATGCATTGGCGAGTTGGAATATTGGTATATTGGAACAGAAATTAAATAATCTCTTTGTCTACTGTTTTTTGCAATTAATCTATTCGTTCAAAGATTTTTCTGTGTGGTATTCTTCGACAGGCATAATTTTCTTTGTAAAGGCGTCTAGCTTTCATATCGTTACATCGTGCAAGGCCGTACATAAAATATATATCCGCATACTAATACTCATTGTAATTATAATCCATTTACAAAGTTTTTTGGTTATTATGACTAATTATATGGTTTTATCGAATAGTGACAGGTAACAAAATAATTTGACAATTAAATATCATTCAATTGCGTCATGATAATTATTGATCAAATCTCTAATCAAATTTTTGATGTATAATTCTACCAATGTGACTAAAACAGTAAGCTAGCTAAACATCAGCTATATTTTTCTCAGAAACGGTTCACTTTTTTTAAATTTAATAAGAGTAGTTTTCTTGTTGCTAATACATTTATGAGAAATTGAAAAAACTATATTATATGGCGCAATTTCTAGGACCATAAAAGTATTAAATTAACCATTTCTGATATTTTGTTGAAAATAAGTTATTTATTCAATTTTAATTTGCACCAAATTTCATGAAATTATTTCAAATGATAGAAAAAGTTGTAATCGAAATCTCAGTTTGAACCGTTTCCGTTCGAAGGTGAATATCTCAAGGTACGGGGACTACACTGTTGTTTTTATAAAAGGTTTACATTCTTAAGAGTATGCGCACATATTCTTAGCAACTATAATAATTTTTTGTATCATGATACTTTTTGCAAATCAAAACACCTTATTTATTAAGTCTTCAACATCAACAATCTTTATCTCAGAGATGTTAGAATGGTTATTGTTTCGAAAACGTAGTTCAATCTAATTGGAAACTTAGTTGGAAACAAATGGAAACTTTGTTGTTAATAGAGAACCGTCTTGTTTGAAATAGTTAAATGTATTCTATGATTTAATATTCAAGGGAGGATATTGCAATGTAATGTTCATGGTAATGATAAATTAAATTGTAAGGGGAACTAGATACTTTTAGAATTTATATAAATAACATATTG